ACTCCATATGATGATATACTACACAGGGCAGGGGTAGGGGTGGGCTTCCTGCCCTCTCCAGATGTCCTTCTTCCCAGGAAGCTATCCTGAAGCTGGCTAAACTGTCATTTTGAAGACTTGAGCTTGATTAAATCATTGGCCTTTGGTGCTAAGTTTAACCTTTGGTCTGTTGTCTGTCTCATCCCCTACTTGTTTTTAGAGTTTGGGACAGGATAGTGAGTAAATGGCAGAATGGGAACTAAAAATGGCTCAGAAGGTATTTGAGGAGGCTGCTCAGATGATAACATCTGAGGGCAGAAGCCACAATCTTTTAGTTCTGCTTTGGCCTTTGTGACAACCAGCACCCATCCCAAACTTCCCTAGGCTGCTAACATCGGCTGTATCATTAGCACCCTTTGGAGAGGCTAGGGACTTAAGATTTACCTGCCAGGTAAAGGGGACAAAGACCAGATGTGTATCCCCCAATACCACACTGGGCTTTATTTGCTATGGGTCTACTGAACTTACTGGGAACTACCTCTGGATAGTGATTCTCGTCCTTATTGCTGAAAGTTCCTGTGTTATTTTCCTGGAAACAAAGTGACCATTTCATGTCCTCTGCATACCATAAGGACTTATTTATTCCCTCCCAGTCATGCCCAAACCCTGATTCATGTAGTTGCAGATGTTTTACATCATGTGCTGTTTCTTGATCCAGTAAGATTAACAAGGACACTTCAGTCTGGAATGACTGATCTGCTCCTTCTGGTTTTTGCTTTCTTTCTACCATCTATTACATTTTGTCTCCTCAAGAAAGTGATCTCAGCACACCTCTGTGTTAGGCATCCTCCTCTGCCCCCCTCCTCCCTTGCAATCAGGATATCTTTAAACCACTCAACAACAACAACCCAAGTCCTTCTTCATGTCAGCAGTTAACAAAACATACCCCTGATTTTTAGGAATTTAGAGGCTTAAGATAATCAGGAAGGAGATTGTAACAGGATTGGATACCCAAAAGTGACTGCTTATTATGTAGCAAACACTATGGTAAAGCACTTTTCACTTATTGTTTTATGCCATCTCTCAGTAAACATATGACCACCATTTTCAGAGAATGAATAAAAGAGAAAGTCCTTTTGGGATTTGCCCAAGGTTAGCTAAGCTGCTGCTAAAACTCAGATCAGGAGCCCACAGCCTTCCACACGCTTCTCCCAGCTGAGACTGTCCCAGGCATTTGTTAGTGTGCTTGTGCTGTGCCTCAGGTGTGCTCAGAGTGCTAGCTGCAGGGTAGGTGAGTGCCAGTGTGAGTTCAGAAGCTAACTAATAGCGATCTCATTGCACACAGCCAGTTCAACTGCGTCACAATCTTCTTGGAAATAAGAATATGACATACTAACCACCACAATCCCAATAGCTGTCCCAAATTAATTGTCATCTTGTCATTTAGAGAAAACCCAAATGACCAGGTGTGGTGGTGCATGTCTTTAACCCCAGTACTCATTTGTGTGTGAGGGTTGGCTATGGATGTGGTTGCACAGATGCACACATACTGGAGGACCTTGAGTGTCAGTCCTCAGATGCTGACTATCGTCCCATGCCTCCCATTCCTGGAGCCTTCACTGGCTTAGAACTCACCAAGTACAACACTTGGCTTCTTATGGTTTCTAGGGCTTGAACTCAGCTCCTCATGTTTACTAGGCAAGGACTTTCTGTCCAAGAACTGAGACATATGTTGACATAAGGGTGGTTGAATAAATGACAATATATTCACACAAAGAAATTATGCAGCTAGAATAAAAAATGAAGAAAACATATGTGGATGGAAAAGTGCACAAAATAGAACAAACAAATGTGGAAGAGTTGTTACCTTGTGAGGAATCAATAATACATTTGTTTGTAGTTGGAGAGATAAACATATATTGTCTATGTACTTGTATGTGAATGAAATGCTTATGGAAGGAAAAACAAGTAATGAATTCTGTGAATTGTTCCTGAAGAATGGCTAAGAGATGCTGGGAGGGTGATTGTCCATTGTGTACTTTGTAGTCTTTTGATTTTCAGCTAATTGTATTTAATACCTATTAAACTAGACATATATAAAAATAAAATGAAAGAAATAGAACAGGCTAGCTTTAGCTTGGTGTAAAGTGCTTGCTTATCACCTGTGAGGTTCTGGGTTCCACCTTTCCCTCTAACTACAAAGCACCTTTCTAGAAACAACACAAAGAGCAGGCATTTGCGGCTGTGTACACTTTGCAAGGACATAGATTCATGAAGTATTCCCATGGCTAGGTGCATTTGATCAAGTTGAAAATTTTCTCTAATGCTTGTATGGGAAGGGTACTGCATATCTTTTGTGATAAAAATACGTATCTTGAATCTAATTCATGCTAAAAATACATATCTTGAATCTAACCATGGAGAAACATCAGATAAACTGAACACCATTCTGTGTGTTTCAAAAGTGTCAAGGTCATAGAAGACCAGGAACAGGAAGCTCTTAGGCTGAAGGAGATAGAGGGATATGACCGTGGGCACACACAGTGAACAGTGTTTGATGCCAGATTGGATCAGAGCCAGAGAGAAAAAAATGTTCCTTTGGCTGTTAAGGACAGTGAATTAGACAGTTGACAAAGCATTAGGAAGGTCTGTGAGTAAAGCAGAGTTGCTGTTTCGGTGTCACCTCTGTGACTTGGACTGTGGTCCTGGGCCTCCAAGAAAATGTTCTCAGATTTAGGAACTAGTTCCTTAAGAATTTGGAGGTAAGCTGGAGGATGGTGCATACCTATAACTCCAGTCACTTCTGAGATCAATAAAAGGAGACCACATGAGCCCAGGAGTTTGAGACTAGCCTGGGTAATTTAGCAAGACCCCCATATCAAGAGGGGAAAAGTCAAAGAAGCAGTGTTTGTAATTTACTCTGAAATGAGTGAGGTGAAAAGAGAAAAGAAAGGAAAGATGAGATGGTGCGGTGGGAAAAGCTCTTGAAAACCAAAGACTGGAGTGTGGATTCCCAAAACCCCACAAAAGCCAGGCGTAGGTGGTGGCAGTCTGCAGACTTAGCACATGGAAGGTAGAGACGGGAGTCCCAGGGCAAGCTGGCGCATGAGCGATGTGTTCAGTGAGAGACCTTGCAATAAATAAAGTGGGAAGGGATTAAGGAAGACAGTGTCAACATTGGACCTCTACACTTGTGTGCGTACAAATGTACCCAGACATATGCAAACATGCAGTGGTGGTTTGAATGAGAAAGTCCCACATAGACTCCTATATTTAAACACTTGATCCTCAGTTGGTACAATTATTAGAGAAGTTTGGGATGCTATTTGGGGGAGGGGGAGTTAGGACTTGAAGTCTTGTTGGAAACGCTGTGTCACTAGAAGCAGGCTTTGAGGGTTTCAAGACATGATCCATTTTGCCACTTCCAGTTGCTCTCTCTGCTTTGTGCTTATGGTTCAAGAAGTGAGCTCTTGGCATCCTGCTCCAGCCACAATGCCTCTCTGCTCCTTCTTCCTTGCCATTATGGATTCTAATCTTCTAGAACCGCAATTTCTGGAACTGAAAACCCAAATAAACCCTTTTTCTGTAAGTTGCCTTGGTCTTGGTGTTTTTTCACAGCAACAGAAAAGTTGCTACATACTAATATATAATGTGCATATACCACACCCAAGGAAAAGGAAATAAGATGGTAAATAATGTTATTTGAAGAATCTCAATGAAGATTTTTGACACATTTATTTCTCTATAAAGTAGCCCATGCGTAGGTAGGGGTAGGGCAAGGGTGAGGAAGGCAGGAACAGGCTATTTACAGGTGCTGTGCAGTTTGTACATGGCAGCTCCAGAGTTCAAGTTATGTACCAGCAGGGAAATTATGGTATCTTTCATTGAGCTTTATTTTGGTTTAGAGACTGGAGGGTGTGTGGTCTGGGAACATGCTTCTCAGCATATTTCTATGACTAACAGCAAACACTGGTGGATGCTGGCCAGCAATCTTTTCTGTCTGACTGCTACCTCCCCCTGTCTACATATGCTACTTTAGTGGGAGTGGTTAGAAGTAGACTAGGCCTGATGAGTCTCATGTGATATTGTAGATGCCAGTGTTTTATAATTCTCATCAAAAGGGGAGATTGGTACCTTAAAAAGAGTCCATCTTATTGGGCTATAGAGATGGATTCGTGGTTAAGATCAGTTGCTTCTCTTGTAGAAAACCTGGTTCACTTCCTAGAACCTGCATGGTGGCTCATAACTATCTGTAACTGCAGTTTTAGGGAATGTGGTGGCCTCTGTTGGCCTTCTCAGGCACCAGGCACTCATGTAGTAGACATACATACAGGCAAAACAGCCATATACATAAATAAGTAAACCTTTTAAAAATAAGTTTTTAAGGAGTCTTAACTTAGAAAGTAGATGAGGTTTCAAAATATAGTGTTTTGCATGTTGATGTTTGGAAAGGCTTTGACTTGCCCACTATTCACTCCTGTAACTGATAGGATGGAAGACAAGATTTGTATGCATTCACTAAATTATGACCTGTACAATTCAGTTTCTTTCATCAGTTGCTCACCCTTGTTTTGCTGCTTTTATTCTTCTGCTCTTCATCTTGAGTATCAGTGGGAGTGGTATAGGAGGTCATGTCTACCATAAAAATCTTGGGCTATACAGCAATCAGATTGGAGCATAAACCCATCATTTATTTGCAGCTAATATATGGAAAAACTTTTTTCTCAAGAGAATTAAATTTGTCTTCAATATTTTTCATGAGGGTTACATTTTATATACAGTGCATGTGTATTAAACACATACATCTAATGATTGTTCAAAATATAGTAGGTATGTAAAACATTACATTATTGCCACAAATAACATTTTATTTTTACCCCTTTGCCTAAGTGTGCTGCCTTTTAATAAGACTTTTTCCCCTCTATAAGTTGAAACTAATTTATTAAAATATAGCCATCCACTTAAAACTTTCCTATCTTTCCTCAGGCATGCTGCAGAGACCTTCCTATCCTCCATGAACACATGTGTACAGGACGTACAAGACAAATGAGTGTTCTCTATCCTGTCCTGCTGCTGTAGGTGGCTCAGACTTGGAGCTATTCAACAAGGACAAGATGGATTCCAAAGATGAAAGCTCCCACGTGTGGCCGACATCTGCGGACCATGAACAGAATACTGCACAGGTGAAGGATGGATGCTAACAGCTAAAAAATATATCAGTGTCTCTATCTCTGTAGTAAGAGTGCTTGGGAGGGAGCCCAAGTGAGAGTTTGCTCTGAGGAGCTGGAATGCATCAGCACTTTGCTTCACTGACAGGTCAAATGTGAGGTGGAAGAGCTCATCAGCACCATGGCTTCACCTCTGCACCTTACTGGTGGAAGCTGTTTAACTATCCTCCTTTATGTGCTATTGATCCCAGAAACCTCAAACCACTGCTGACTTCTTTTACATTAACCAGTGTAGGGTTTCAGTTTTCCGTGAGTAATGACACCTCAGGTGTGTTTATAAAGTGAATTTCCTATCATTCCTTTTAAGACAGGGTCTTGTCTGTTCTGGAACTTTCTATATGGTCTAGACTGGCCTCGAACATAAGGTTTTGATCCAATTTTTCACTAAATTGTATAACCCTGGTACCATTGTCAAAATTAGTTAACCTTGTAATATTTAAATGTGCAAATATTTCTTAATTTAGGCAATATAATCAATGCTGTAATAATTAGTAATGGTTATATAATAAGATTTAAATGTTGAAGTCTGAAATCCAGAGAAAAGTGGTTCTAGAGACATTCTCAGTGGAGTGATTGGAACACGACTTTTCTCTTTGATGACTACTTTCACGAACTCACATGCTGCATTTATCCAAAAGGAAGAAAAAGGTGATGCATGGCAGCACATGCCCACTGGGTAGGCAGAGGCAGTTGATCTCTGTGAGTTTAAGGACAGTATGGTTGACTGAGTGAGTTTGGAGCCAGTCAGAGGTGCCTTAAAAGAAAAGAAAAGGAAAGAAAAAAGAGCAAAACAAAAGGAATTGTTTTTGTGAAGTCCTTTGTTGACCAGGATCCCTACCTGCAGGGGAGCTGAGGTCAGGGTATCCCACTGTACCCGTCTTTCCAGTCATTTTTGCTCCTAAGTTCTGCAGATTCTCATTTATAGACTTTCCATGATGAAAGCCAATTGGAAAAGCTTAGCTTTATCCTTTTTTGAGGAAAATGTCTGACCCCCATTTTAAAGCTTTGGCATGAATAAGAAAACTGAAAATTATGAGATTATAAATCTGAAGTCACAGGATTGCCTTACAACAATGAAAGCTGTGCAGATATGCTGTGAACCTAATTTCCCCCGTGTGTGTGCTTTATCTTCAGGCGTAAATTGAATGTATATAGAAGACAGAAATAATCACTTAGCAGGAAATCTGTTGTGTTCCTGTGGTGCTCAGTTACTCTTGGCCTCTGGCATTCTTTCTGGGCATTAAGTTAGTTTATGTGTCATCTATGAAATCTCTTATTTCCCACTGGAGAAAACTGCCATAGACACATTAGGACCAGTGGCAAATCATGAAAGGAGCAAGGATGCCCACCCAGCAACATCAACACATCAGTTACATCTCCCCCAGATGAGTGCTTTGGTTATCCACCTGCAGACTTCCCATATCAGGCAGGCATTAGGCACATGCCATGCTGGCGCCTCACAGAGTCAATCTTCTATTGCTGACCGCTTACAGAGGATATTTTATTTTATTATTATTATTATTACTATTATTACTTTTTTTGTTTGTTTGTTTGTTTTCTGAGATAGGGTTTCTCTGTATTGCTTTGGAGCCTGTCCTGGAATTCGCTCTGTAGTCCAGGCTGGCCTTGAACTCTGCCTCCGGAGTGCTAGGATTAAAGGCATCATGCCTGGCTCAGAGAGGATTTTATACAACTCAGTTTTGCTTTTGATTCTTAGGTATTAGGATACAGAAGATTATCCCCCTTGGGACAGCTGAGCTACTTGACCAGAACCATTTAACAGTATTTCGTTAGGGGTTTCAGCTTCTTTACTTGGCTAACAGGGAAGACTTGCATCCCACCCACTGTGTGTGTATGCCCTTCACATATGAAATAACGTGTAGGAGTAAAAGTGACCTTATTTTTATATGTCCGCTGAAAAGTACTACCCATTATAAAATAGGATTTTTATGATGTGTTGAAAGCAATTGCTTTTAGGCCTACATCACAGAGCAATATGTGTTTTGTATTTTGGCAGGGGTGTCATTCAGGAATCTGCAGTTGCTTTTCCAGGATCAATTAATTGCCCCCTCATGAGTCACCAGAAGTTATCTATTTGCATTGGGTTTTTAAGGCAAAAGAGTCTGCTCTCTAATGTTAAGCAATAAATTTCTGACAAGGTCCTTGCATCTTGCCTTCTGGACTCTAGCTTAGCACGGATGAAGACACATCAGTCTTACTTTTTCTTGCATTAGGGATATTTGTGCTCAGTTGTGCTTGGTTGACCACAGGCCTTTGTGAATTTGATTTTGCTTTATAAGGATAGATGCTACATACATGCCTGCTTTTCCCTCCAGGTGCACTTTGTTCCGGATGCTGGAACCGTGGCTCAGATTGTATACACTGATGACCAAGTCCGTCCACCCCAGCAGGTGGTATACACAGCAGATGGTGCCTCCTACACATCAGTGGATGGTCCAGAGCACACACTGGTGTACATCCACCCGGTGGAAGCTGCACAGGCATGTGAAGGATCTCTTTTTGACTTGTTTATTAATTAATATACTGATAACTTATGTTTGCTATGGGTCAGTTGTTATCCTAAATGTTTTGATTCAGTAAACATTCAGATAAGAGTTGTGCTGTCAAGGAGCGTATTACTAACTGGGCAATAAAAGAGATGATGTGTTTATTTAAATGGAGTGCAAAAATGAATTAGAGTCCCAGTCTCATGTCAGGGTTTCTTTCCAGTGACCAGTGAGGTGGTTGTGAATTTGTTACCTTTCCTAAGTGTCCGGAACTAAGTGTTTGGTTCTGTATACTACACAGCGTATAGCTAAATCACAGTTGGCTCAATGAAAGTATACAGATTATTTAGTTAAACGTGTAAGCAAAGGATCCTACCAGCTTGTACTGTTGTTTGTTAGTAACTTACTGGTTTATAGAACTGTACCAGAAGCCAAGGCATATACCCACAAAAGCTTTACCATATAGCCTTTGTTTTTTGCCACTGACTTGGAGTTTCTAAAAGAGTGACACAGATATTCCACAATTATTGTTGACACTTTAAAATGTTCAAAATGTTTAATATGTATTACATACATATGTGTTACTTACAGTACATATGCACAGGTCTCACTACCATACTCATACATACTAATAAAGGCTGAGGACATAGTAAGATTGCAATACATTGTACTACTATTATTTCTTCATTTGAGTTTGCATTTTAACCCAGGCCTTTCTGTGTGCTAAGTGCATGATCTACCAGTGGCCTGTAGTGTCAATATTTGTTTATTTACTTACTTACTTGCTTTTTGAGACAGGATTTTCCTACATACCCTTGGCTTTCCTGGAACTCACTATTATGTAGTTCAGACTGGCCTTGAACTCACAGAGATCTGCCTGCTTCTGCCTCCCAAGTGCTGGGATTTTTTAAGAAGTGTATTTTTATAGTAGGACCCTTGTCATAATGTTGTCTTTGTATAATATTTCATCAAGAATATTTCGTTTCTAGAAATGAAATTGTCCAATGCTCACATGGTCCTTTTGGAATGCTTTGGCTTAGTATTTGTTCTCTGACTGCATTAAATTACAGCCAAGACTGGGGGTGGTGGTGCATGCTATTAATCCAAGCAGAGGTCGGGGCAGCCAGATCTCTGTGAGTTGGAGGCCATCCTGGTCTACAGAGAGAGTTCCAGGACAGCTAGGGCTATACAGAGAAAACCTTGTCTTGAAAAACACAGCAAAATAAAGTACTACCAAAGAGTGTATGTAAAGGATGGCATGTATTTAACTGCTAGTTTATTATAAAGTTACCAGGTGTCTGAATTTTGATAATTTTTTTAAATGTCAAAGGGAAGAAATAGCAACTTCTTGTAACTATCCTTCATGTTCCTCTGGAATTCAGATTTAACTAGTTTTGTTTATGCTTTGTTTTTGTTTTTTGAGACAGAGTTTTGTATGTGTAGCCCAGTTTTTATGTTAGTCCCATAGGCTTACAAAAGTCTTGGGCAAATTAAAGTCTTTCAAAAGATTTAGCAAAGATTATTTGTCTTGATTAGAGATATTAATCATATCTTAGCTGTAAAAGTATGGACATTTTTTTCCTCTAGTTATGTGTTTATAATGATTAAGTTTCTTTATTACCATTATTATACCTGATAGCTTTATTAAAAAAAAAAAAAAAGAATACTTGGCAAGGCCATGGTGGTACATGCCTGCATGCCTTTAATCTCAGCACTTGGTAGGCAGAGGCAGGAGGATCTCTGTGATTTTGAGGCTAACCTGGTCTACGATATAAGTTCCAGGGCAGTCAGGGCTACACAAAGAATCACTGTTTGGGAAATAAAACAAAACAAAACAAAACAAACAAAAAAAAAAAAAAAACAAAAAACAAAAGCCTTGTGTACTATAAATTCAATTTATGTTCTTTCTACTTTTCTGATGACAGACGTGTTCATATTGTAAAGGCTTAATAACCTGTGTTTCTGGTACACCTCTGTGTGTTCCTACCTCTGAACTCATTTTTACTGACTCACAGATCTCTTTTGTGAGTAGAGTTCAGTGTGAATGGTGTATTCTGTTCATGGCATGTCTTTATGTTTACATGTCATGTCTTTTTAATTAGCTGTGACATTCAACCTCAGAGAGGCTTTACTTGAGAGCAGAATAGTAAAGTATGTTAGCCTATTGGGGTGGCTACTTATTCAATCTCTGAGCCCTTTTGAACGAAAGACTCCAGGAAAGTACAAGGATACTGTCTTTATCTCCTGCATTAATGAAGGATTACTAGTTATGATTCAAGATAGCTCTCCTTAGAGTTGGTGCTGACCAGAGTAATTTTCTTCTGTAGGTGAGCAGTCTAAAGATATACTGATATATTTGTTTGTTTTTCTCTAGACTCTGTTTACAGATCCAGCTCAGGTAGCTTATGTCCAACAGGATGCTACAGCTCAACAGGTAATAAAAAACCCTTTGTGCTATTTGGGACTAACATAGAACATAGAAGCTGTTGTGTTCTTGTAGTATCCTTCTTCCCTTATGCCATCTCTGAATGTTTTTTTTTTTTTTAATGTACATTTTCATTCTCTAACTTCTGTAATGGAAACAAAACAAAACAAAACATAATGCTAACTCACTGTCAGTATATTGGAATAGATTGCTAGTAGGAAGTGTTGGTTAGCGAAGTTGTAATAAGTAAGCATGTACTATTGGGAAGATGACTCAGGAGAATTGGCTGAATCCACTCAACCAGCCTGAACAAAATAGTGAGTCTTTATATTAGACAAACAAATGGGGTATTTATTCACATGAGTGTTAAAAGTGTCTTTTTTTGGTGGGGAGGGGGGCGTGGTATCACTATAATAACAACACTTAGGAGACAGAGACTAGAGAGTCACAGGTTCTAAGCCAGATTGAGCTACATAACTAGGCTCTGTCTCAGGAGAGAGGTTAGAATAGAGAGACAGATAGAGACAGAGACAGACACACCATTATATTTCTGAAAGTTGGCAAGCCTGTCACCATGGACACGCTTGGGAAGTTCTTCATCAATTACTCGAAAGAGAAATTTCTTTTCCAGACAATAAACCCAGCCATTTTCATCCCCTAATGAAATATGGTTTTGAGTGGTTGCTGTCAATAGTAGCCTGAAAAAACCGATGAGGAGAATTTTGATGGGCAAACAAGATGGTAGCAAGTACCTCGGCTTTCCTATGACGGAAGAGAAATGACTGTTCATTATATTTGCCTCTTAGTGCTATATACTTTCTGTTGTGTGATATTGTGTGAAGTGTTCATCCTGGAAAATCAAACCTGAATATGACCAAGTCCATAGAGTGTTCCACAGCTGACAGGATGTGTGGTAGGCAAACTGAACAAATCAAAAGACATAAAAGACTTACCGGTAAAGTCTAGACTATGGACTTCAGGAGAAATGACCTGGGGTTTTTATTTTGTTTGTTTTTTGCTTATTTTGTTTTTGAGGTGATCTTAGATAGTCTAAGCTGCTGGGCTCGAACTCACTATGGAGCCAAAGATGATTTTGAACTTCTGATCTTCTTGCCTTCTCTTCCTGTATTGTGGATTACAGCCATGTGCCATCACACTAAGTATATGTGCCCTGATCAGGCCCAGGGCTTCTGTGCATGCTGTGCACACATTGTATCAGTGGAGTTACATCCCAGCCAGATAACCTGTTTTAGTTTGTGTAAAGATCCTACCACTGAGCTATATCCCCGACATGAAGAGGAGGGGGGAACTAATGGGCTTGGATGTATCAGTGCAGTAAATGCTATATATGCTTTTCCTTGGAGCCTGATTGGATAAAACCAAGATTGAGAAAAGAGAAAGACAGGGCTGCAGAGATGGCTCAGAGGTTAAGAGCACTGGCTGCTCTTCCAGAGGTCCTGAGTTCAATTCCCAGCAACCATATGGCAGCTCACAGTCACCTGTGTATAGTGGGATCTGATGTCCTCTTCTGTTGTGCAGTTGTACATGCAGATAGAGTACTATTTAAGGATGACGGCCTGCATATAATGTGTAGATTTTTTTTTTTCACAGTAATCTAGTGAGAGGTAATGAGGGTGGGAGATTGGTTGGTGTTTTGAGTCTAAATGGCAAGTATGTGAAGTTTGTTGCACTGTTCTGTTTAATGCATTTGAGATTTGTTCTTATGAACATGAAAACAGTGTTTGTTTGGCATGGCCTTTTAGTTGTGTGGCAAAGCTGGCCTCAAATAATGATACTCTCCTGCCTCAGTGTCTCATTGTCTAGGATTACAGGCGTGCACCACCATGCCTTGTTTAAAAACACTGTTTTGATAATTCTTTGTAAATTGCCTCTGGGATATTGAAGAAATTTATATTCCTGCCAACTATATGAAAATGTCCATTTTCAACACTCTACCACTGGTATATTTGCATTCTCTTCAAATTTTGCCAATCTGATATGGCAAATTGTATTTTGTTGTTTTACTATTGAGGTATGTTTTAATTGATAGGTTTGTTTCCATTTGCACCTCAAAGGGCCCTTCATCTTCTCCAATCTCCAGAAACGATCTGGTTCTTTGATGTTTTCTAGGACAGGAAAGTTGTACTTAGATAGCGCTGTGAGCCCTGGCATTATATGTTAGTGTGACTGTAGTTGTTGGCTTAGAGCCTTGCTTGAGTTTGTTCTTTGTCTTCTTCTTCATTCTGGGATCAAGTTCTGAGCCTTGTACACGTGGAACACACACTCTAGCACATCCCCACCTCTGTCTGTTTCTGTCTCTGTCTTTTTCTCTCTGCCTTAGCTGAAAGGTTTCTTTCTTGTCCTTAGTGATGGGGAGATCTGTTTGAAGCCCTTTTTATGTGTTCATTCTTTTGTCGGTGTGCAGCTATGGGAGCGCCCAGTCCTCTTTAGTCCCAAAAGTGAGCATGTATGACTCCCCACATACCGAGGAGGAAACACGCTTTCCTGATAATTGGGCTCAGTAGGAGCCACAAAGCATCCTGTCATTCTCAGTGCTGTCCAGTGTCATTTCCTGTTCTACTTCTCAGATGAATTGTGTCCTGAAATGCATTGTGTAGATTTGGAATTGATCACAAGGTTCCACTAAGTGGGAAAAAAGTGTACAGTTTAGCCAATTCTTTTTTCTTTCACTGTGTTTCATTGTGCAGTGGTGACATGTGCAGGGCTAACAGCTTCGTTTCCGGTTCTTTGCCTCTGTGTAAGCAGGCACACTCTGGTCACTTATTCACTGCCTGGCTGTTATTGGAGCATGCATATGTTAGCGTGTTGCCTAGGATTCAAGGAAGGGTGAGGTAGGGGGTGTTTATCTCCTCTGCTGCCTTCCTTGAATAGACTAAATTCCACAGGGGCTGTTGTGACATAGTGGAAAAACTAAGTAGTGGCAGAACTTGAATTTCATGTCTGCAGCTTAGGGGCTGATACATACCTCATCTTAGTGTAACTTAGATGCATGCCTAGTGCTCAGTAAATGCCAGGTGACTTTGAATTTCTAATTTGCAGAGCATCCCACTGTGTGTTCAGGTCTGTGCTATCTACAAATAGACCGTTCTTACTGAGAAATGCTCTTTGATGCTTCTGTTGCGTTTTCCACAGTAGTGCCTCAGGTATTTGGGGTTCATGTCTGCTCCAGCACCAGTCCTCAAGCTAATGCAGAAACATGGGAGAGGGAACGGTTTTCCTGCCAGCACTCTCAACAGTGTCAAGAAGCCAGCAGCAACTTTGCTGAACCAGAGTTCTTGCAACTACATCTATTGAGAAAACTTACCGCTGTAGCTTTAGAATAACTCTGAGTTGTCAAGTGTATCTTTTTGGTGGACTCTGCAGAGAGATGAAGAATTTGCAAGGAGCAGAGGGTTATGTGTTCTGTGGTTTGATGTGTGATGATATTAATCACTAATGCCAGCAACAAGTTTGAGAGGCCTACAGTAGAGAGAGTGCAGTGTAGTAAATGTGCCAGGCGATGAGTGGGGATGCAGTTGCTTCCATGCAGGTGCAAGTACCTGTCATTCCAGGTATTTGGGAGGTGTTGACAAGAATCAAGAGTCAGCCGGGTGGTGGTGCCACACGCCTGTAATCCCAGCACTGGGGAGGCAGAGGCAGATGGATCTGTGAGTTCAAATTCAGCTTGGTCTGCAGAGTGAGTTCCAGGGCAGGCTCCAAAGCTACAGAAAAAACCTGAATCGAGAAGAAACAACAAAAAAGAATTGTGAATTTGAGGTCATTCTGAGCTATATAGAGTCTCTTTGGTTTCTTATACAGGGTGTCTGTATGTATCCCTGGCTGTCCTGGAACTTACTATATAGACTAGGCTGGCCTTGAACTCATAGAGATCTGCCTGCCTCTGCCTCCTGAGTACTAGAATTAAAGACACCATGCTTGGCTGCATGGGACTCTTAAAAAAAAGATAGTTGCCAGATGTGGTGGCATATGCTTATAATTCCAGGTTTTAGGAGGCAGTGGCAAGAAGTTCACAACTTGAAGGTCAGTCTGAACTACATAGCAAGACTGACTTTGAAAAAAAATCTAATCTTGAAAGACGAAGCAGAACAATAATAAATCTAGGGCTTGGGAACATAACTCAGTAGGTAGTGCTTGCCTAGCATGAATAAGGTCCTGTACTGAAACACAGCAACAATAAAAAGAAGAAATATATGACAAGTTCTTGTCATTACCAGGTACTTTCTAAGTACCAAACATTTCACTGCTGTCTTTATGTACAGGTTTATAGATTGCCTCTCTTTATCTGTATGTATGTGGTTCATATATGCATACATATGTATTCATGTGTTAATATGTGAGTACACGTGTGTGGAGGCCAGAGGTCAGTATTAGGTGTCCTTCTCATTTGCTTTCCTCCATGATATGGTATGTGTGGGGGGGTGAGGGGGAGAGAAGATATTGTGGAATCTGGGGGTTGAACTCAGGTTACCAGGCTTGCAAAGAAGCTCTTTAAGCCTCTGAGCCATCTCACTGCCCTGCCCTAGGCTGGTTAGCCAGTGAGCTCTGGGGCTCTTCCAGATTCCGTGCCTCCTCCCCGAACACTGAGGTTACAGGTGCATGCTGCTGCACCTAGCCTTCTAAAAAGATTTATTTACTTATAAATAAATTCCAACCACAGTTCTCCCTTCCACACCTCTTCCCACCTCCCCCAGACTTTTTATTTTTATTTTATGTGTATGGGTGGTTTTCCTGAATGTATGGATGTGAACTATGTGCTTATGTGTCTACAGAGGCCAGAAGAGGGTGTAGGATGCCCTGGAACTAGAGTTACAGATAGTACAGATGGTTGTCAGCTGTCATCTGTGATCTGGGAAATGAACCAGGGGCCTCTGAAAGAGCAGCAAGTGCTCTTAATCACTGAGCTGGGAATCCCAACTCAAGTCCTCACACTTAAACTGTAAGCATTTTACTGACTGAGCCATCTCTTCCAGGCCCTGTTTCACTTAAGCTTTATAAGAATCAATGTAGTTTGATTCGTGTGTTCACTCCCTAAATTAAGAAGCTGAGGTCAGAAAAGTTGAGTAACTTGCTAAGTAGTGAGGTCAGGACTTCACTCTCTGACTCTAGAGCCCTGTTCAACTCTCTCAGGAGTGGCTAGACCGGCACAATGGACTCTCATAAAAAATGCCTAATCATGGTGGTGGCGAATGCCTTTAACCCCTCCAATTGGGAGGCAGAGCCAGTTGGGTTCTTGATTTTGAGGCCAGCCTGGGCTACAGAGTGAATTCCAGTATAGCCAGGTCTACACTGAGAAATTTTGTTTCTATCTCTGCTACCCCCACCTCCAAAAAATGCCTAATTATGGACAAAGTAGGTGGTGTATGGTAAGACTGTGAGGGATCGCAAAGGCATGAGGTGTCAGAATGGAGAATCTACAAAATAAAAGTCGTTAAAGGAAACTGGGCATGATAGCCCAAGCCTGTAATCCTATCACATAGGAAGTAGAGGCAGGAGGATCAGAAATTCAAGGTCATCTTGGCTACATAAACTAGTTCAAGGTCAGTCTGATCTAATTGAGATCCTGAATCAGCAAACAAACAAAAACAACCCAAAAACAGAGTAATAAAATGAAAATCTCTGGAGATGAATGCAAAATCCTAATGTAAGTAATCATCAGCTATTTAAGCTAGGAGGAAGATGAGTAGAAAATGATTCAGCATCTAGAAATCCAAATTCAGTTTACAGCAGAAAGGTGGCAGTTATATGCTAAGTGTGGTCAGATGCTACATTCATAAATATAAGTAATTCACTAGGGAATAAACAGGCAAGATGATCAGCTGGAAGTCTGGCTGTATGAAAGGTGATGGGATAAATTAGGAATTGAGTCCTAGCATGTTTATATCATGTGAAAGGTCCCAAGAGAAAGGCCTAGCTCCAGACAGAAGATGTGTACTGGAGATGTCATTAAGCTGTTCCCAAGTGTTCTGGCTGCCTGGGGAGGAAATGAGGCCCAGAGCTATTATAGACGTAGACTGTTGCAGTAGATGTTCAGAGTGTAGGAGGGTTGGGGCACCAGATGTGTCCTGTTGGTGAACTAGAACATGGTGCTTTTAGAAGGCAGATGAGGGAATGTCATCCTAGCAGAGGAAAGCAGGATATGGGAAGATAAAGAAAAATGGAGAGGGACCATATAAATGGTTAAATGACTAAGAAGGACATGGGTTGAATATGGTCAAGTAGTTTATAACACTTTAACATTCAATTTGTAGGGTGCCATTTATTCTGTGTACTTGTGTTGAGCAAGTTAATCCTGTTTTTTGCTCAAGTGTTTGTTTATTTGCAACACTAACTGGAGGACAAGGAAACAAACATTCATCTCTTCTATTCTTTCCAAAACACTTAAGCTTCTCAGAGTGTTTCAAAGGAGAGTTATCAGCTACAAAGTTGTACCAGCTTGTTATAACCTGTATTTAGTTTTAAAAGTAAAGTGGGGATGTAGCTTAGTGGTAGAGCATTTGCCTAGTAAGGTGAAAACGCTGGGCTCCCTTCTTAGCATTGAAGACAAGACAAAACAAAACAAAACACTAAGGTGAAATGGGTAGGGAGGATTACTTGAGTCTAGGAGTTTGGAGAGCTTGCCTGGGCAACATAGTAATTCTTTCTCTAAAAAATAACAAGCAGGGCTTGGGAGATGGCTCAGTAGGAAAAGTGCTTGTTGTTTAAGAATGAAACCTCAGTTTGGGTTCTTAGAACCCATATAAAAATGGGAATGGTAGTGTGTGCCTATCACCCCAGCACTACAGCGTCAGAGACAAGTAGATACCAGGGCCTTGTTGGCCAGCCAGTGTGGCTAAATTAATGAGCTCCAAGTTCTGTAATAGATCCTGCCTCAAAAATTAAATGGGGCTAGAGAGATGGCTCAGTAATTAAGAATATATACTACTCTGGTAGAGGATCAAAGTTCAAATACTAGCACCCACATCATGTGATTTATAACTTCCTATAACTCCAGCTCCCTGGGGAATACAGCATCTCTGGCCTCTGCATTAATGTACATATACACAATTTTTTAAAAAGATAGAGAATGATTAAAAAAAGAAAACAACAACAACAACATAAAAACAACCCTCTGGGCAGTTATGGCACATGCCTTTAATCTCAGGATTCAGGAATTTGAGGCCAACCTGAAATATAGAGCAAGTTTCATGACAGCCAAGGTAGTGACACAGTGAAACCCTGTCTCACAAACCAAACCAAACCAATGCAATATTTATATCTGACGCACACATATATGTGCATAAGCAGTGCACCCATTTGTGCACATATATATTCACACATTACACAAACACATAAGTTGCTAGAAAAGCAAAGTAATTGACGAACCCATACATTCCCTTCCCTGCATGGTAGTCACTTGTAAAAGGAAGGAGGGACCCTTGCCCCAGGTTTAATTCTTATATGAAGATTGAAGATCCCACACATATCTTCTGGAGGAGGCAATGGAAAGATGCTGTGTGTGCACTCGAGGTCTCAGGGGTGGGGGATAGGAAAGGTCCACTAAGCCAATGTGAAATGTCTTATATAAGCAAGGAAAGGAACTAGATTTGAACCTGTTAGATTCAAATTCAGACTGTGTGTGTCAAAAGAGACCAAGTCTTCTCAGTCTGTCTAGATATGAGAGAAGGTGAGGAGGGAGGGTGGAGCTTAAAAGATAAGGGTGTTAGACTTATGAAAGGATGTTGGACTTTTCCTTGCAAGTTACAGACCGAAGCCATTTTTTTCAGTCTTGCAAGAAACGAATGTGAACAATATATCCTGTCAAGAGTGTGTTTGTTGTGCACCTGGGTCCCGGTTGACTTAGAAGAGGTGATGCTTGCTTTGTCCCTTAAGCTTCTGACCAAGCCTCATTACCTGTGTATAACCAGGTGCTGCCTTCCATTGAGGGTGTGGATGGTTCTGACCCTCTGGCAACTCTGCAGAACCCAATTGCCAGACTAGATGCAAAAGAGGAAGAAGAAGAGGAAGAGGATGAGGATGAGGATACAGATGAAGAAGAGGAGGAGGATGCTGAAGATACCGATGTGGATGATTGGCAGCCTGACCCACCCCGGCCTTTTGACCCCCATGATCTGTGTAAGTGCGGGCCCTGAATCTCCCAGGAAGGTGTGTGTGAGTGTAGTCGTGTGCACAGCAATTGTCCATCCTGTACACTGTCACATCATCTCTCTTTGTCCTTCCAGCAGCCCTGGGAGAGAGGTCAGGACCATTGTTTTTGTTTTTTGTTTTCACTGATAAAAATCTGAAACCCAGAAGAGGTTAGGTGCCCATCCAGGGTCAGGTGAGTGTTCTCAGGCATCAGCAGCGATGATGCCCTCCACAGCCTTTATAGGCTGCCCTCTTTCTCAGGGTCATAACTTTGAGTGCCTTGGAGATGTGAACTCTAGCTCTGGGTGGCTGGCCCTACGCTGAGTTGTCCTTCTGTCCTGTCTGCTCAGGCTTCTGTGTTTAGCTACCAGCTCATTGTTTCTTTCTGTGGATTTTCATGCCCAAGTGGCAAAGACTGAGCTCATTCACTTGAGTGACCAAGGCTCTTTAGAGTTGGTGGCTTTGTACTCCCCTCACAGGCCTCCTCTGTGGGGTTGGTGAAACTTGTCTGTGTGGGGCCAGTTCTCAATCCCATGTAACAAAGAACTCCATTTCGTTTTTCTTTGAGTTTATCAGTTTTCAAGGCAACTCCTTAATCAAATGCACTGAAACCTACATTACCTTATAAATATTAATATAAAGTCACTCTCTATTACTTGGAAATTATTGTGAATACCTAAACCAGGTCACCACATAGCCAGAGGGAGTGGGGCATGATGAGTATGAACTCTGTTTGGCCTGGTTGCTCTGATTTGTGGCCCTGAGTATATCTTCTGGGCTCTTCTGGCAAAGAGAGTGCACTGCCTGGCTTGAGGCAGATGGAGAGAGAATCCAGCATGAGTTGAAAATGCATGTCCCTCCAGGGCTAGACTAATGATGCTGCCTGAGCAATAAAGGAGGGGATCCTAGTGATGCTCAATTTAGCATCCTCAGGCCTTGCAACTGGAAGTGGATAGCACTCTGTTTGCATTATACTGTCCTATGTTACAGCTGCTCAAATTCATTGGGAGGAAGTGGATTAAACAGTGTCATCAAGGTTGATCCCCCAACAACTTCATGAAAATAATTTTTTCTCATCAGATTTCTCAACATTTAACTAATAAGCTTTTCATTCTTTCTTATAATTGATTTTAAATTGTCTTCACTGTTTGAACCACTATCCAGCAGGGATATAAGTCATGACTTGCATATTACTCTTAGCAGGTAAGGGGATTAGCATGATTTTAGGGGGAAATTACAGCATTGTTACTGGGCCATGAAAGGTAATGCCTTACAGTGGAATGGCAGAACCCTTATAGGAGTTAACTGAAATTTGATCTAAAAATATTGATTTGGGATGTTTTTAAGGTCAATACTTTTATGATTAGCTCAAGAAGTTTTGAGGCATTTGCCTTTTCTTCAAGCTTTCTTTCTCTTACAGGGTGTGAAGAGTGTAACAATGCACATTCTTCTGTGTGCCCAAAGCATGGCCCCTTGCATCCGATCCCTAACCGGCCTGTGCTCACTCGGGCAAGAGCAAGTCTGCCTCTGGTCCTCTACATAGATAGGTTCCTTGGGGGAGTGTTCTCCAAAAGACGGATTCCGAAGCGCACTCAGTTTGGCCCTGTAGAGGGGCCTCTGGTCAGGGGGTCAGAGCTCAAAGATTGCTACATTCATCTCAAGGTAACTCAAGCTTTCTTCCACTTGACTTGTTCTGTTAAGACTTTCCAAGAGTGCTCATTTCTTTCCATTTCATACCAGCTCTTTGCTAGTAGTTTTCTTGTCATGCTTTAAGTTGCTTATATGGAAGCTTGCTCTTTGTCCTCAAGAAACTAGAGATGGTAATGGTGGGTGGCTTGTTGAAGCATTGTATAATCATTTGGAGGAACTATGAGTGATATGCTAGGCTTTCATCCTAAGACAAAGTACTGACCATGCAAACACAAGGACCAGAGTTCAGATCCTCAGCGCCCATATGACGGCTCATAACATCTAGAACTCTAGTACTAGGTGGTCTTGTGCCACCTTCCATGGCTTCCATGGGCACCAGACATGCATGCTGTATACAGGTACACATGTAGGTAAAACAGTCACATAATATAATAAACAATAATAACAAAAAAGCCTAGGATGTATGGTGACCCGCCTGTAGTTCTAGTGATCTGCAGGTGGAGCCAGGATCCTTCAAGCTGCTTAGTTAGACTGAATCAACAAACCCAGGGTCCACTGCCTTAGTGAATAAAATGAGCTATCAGGGAAGACACCCAATGTTACTCTCTGGCCTACATGTGTCTGCACACACATATGCCAACTGCACATACCTGATGGGTACTTTAAATAATGGAAATGTATTTCTCAAAGTCTGCCAGGCCAAGATTAAGGTGTTGGGAGGGCTGGTTTCTGCAGTATCTCTTCTTGACTGTCACCTTGATGTGTCCTCACAGGTTCTACCCCCTATGTTTGTGTTAATATTCCTTCTTATTGGATTACAGCCTTCCCTGATAATACCATGTTAACTTAATCGCCTCTTTAAAGGTCTTGATATAAATGTAGTCACATTCTGAGGAATCAGGGTTATTGGATTCCTGAATGAATTTTTTTTAGGGCTGGGAGTGGGGGGGGGGCATAAAATTAAGGTCTTAACAGAGGTGTAGTTTTCCTGGAACTCCCTCTAGACCAGGCTGGCCTTAAACTCACAGAGATCTACCTGCTTCTGCTGTCCAAGTACTGGGATTAAGGGTACATGCTACCATACCCAACTGTATAGTCTTTTCTAAACAAAATAACAGTAAGGGGCTGGATATGTAGCTTACTTGGTTCAGTGCTTGTCTACCCTGGAACCCCAGCATTCAAGAAGGAGAGACAGGAAGATTGGGAGTTCAAGGTCATTCTTGGTGACACACTGTGTTTGAGGCCAGCCTGGGCTACATGAGAATCTAGCCAAAAATGTTTTACTTTAGAGCTGGGTATGGTGGCACACACCCATAATCCCAATAGTTGTTAGGCTGAGGCAGGAGGATTGTGAATTCCAGGGTAGCCTGGGCTACATATCCAGACCCTGTGTCCAAAAGAAAGACTTTAACTAGAAGACGGGAAGTCTGGCTGTGTGTGTTCTGTGTGTGTTGGAACAGTTGCACCGAGACGCTTTTCCATCTTGGAGTGGGTCTGACCTGTGGCATTCTTTGTATTAAAGAGTAGTTCACAGGGAATGGCAGTGGTGGAGCACTGTTCAGTGGTTAAGAGCACTTGCTGCTTTTGTAGAAGACCAGGGTTTTTTCCCAGCACCTACATGGTAGCTCACTATCATCTATAACTACAGTTCCAGGGAATCTGCTGCTCCTTCTGACCTCTGTGGGCTACTGCATGCATGTGGGACACAGACGCACACTAGGCACACATGTAAAACAAAATAAAAATAATTCAGAAGAAAAGCATAGCTCATCAGGGCTGGAGGGATGGCTCAGCAGTTATGAATATGTATTGCTTTTCTGGAGGACTCCAATTCAGTTTACCCTCTCTTTGGTTACAGGTTTCTCTTGATAAAGGAGACAGAAAAGACAGGGATTTGCATGAAGACCTGTGGTTTGAGTTGTCTGATGAGACCCTTTGTAACTGGATGATGTTTGTACGCCCAGCTCAGAACCATCTAGAACAGAACCTGGTAGCTTACCAATATGGCCACCATGTATATTATACAACAATAAAGAACGTGGAACCCAAGCAAGAACTGAAGGTACGGCAGCCTGCTGTGATGAGGGCTCTTTCCTACAAAAGGATTCTTTCCTGATTATTCTGTTTTTATTGAGTGACTTCAGCTTTCTTTGTGCTTCCACAGTTACAAAATTTGGAATGCTCATGTCTCTCATACAAGTATATGCATAGAGCCCTTGACTGTCCTGCCATACATTTCAGATAATTTCTAAACTATAATATTTGTTGCAAATAAATGCTGTATACATAGTCATCATAGGACAGAATTTGTAGTAGGAAAATGACAAACTTCATAAAATAGTATAACAAGAGAGGCATAGTTAAGGAATTGTGAAACACAGATTCTACAAAATTTTGTTCTATCCCATCATGGTGGACACTGTGAAATATTTTCAAAGTAAGTATCACACTCTTGCTTCTGGAATATTTCTCCACATCACTACTATCTGCAAGTCTGAACACTGCACTTTCCCATTTGTTTGACTTTGTCCTGAAATGGGTTGTGCATGGAAATTAATGAAGTCTCTGATCAAACCACCGGGAACTTTCCGACAATTCTGCTTTGTGCCTTAGTGAGAGCCTGCAGATGCTCACCAACCTTGTGTTGCTTTGAAATTTCTATTCTTGACTTTATTCTTGAGGGAAATGACAGGTTTGGGGGCTTTGCTTGCATTGCTTAGCAATTGTTTACAAGTCAGTGAGCCCAGTAGGAGGTGAGAACTACTAAGGGACCAGGCTAGGTCTGTGCAGACTGGAGAAGCAGGCTGCTAGCACTGATTGCATCTCACATGCCAGGATGTGAGATACTTTCTGATTCCTCTTCTAACAACAGCAAAGTGCCCAGTTTGGGGATTTGTTTGTTTTTGGCTCCTCACCCCTCCCAAGACAGGATTTCTCTGTGTAGTCCTGGCACTCACTCTGAAGGCCAGATTGGCCTCAAAATTTTGTCCTACTGAAGTTCTCCTTATATAAATACCCTTCTATATTTAATGCCCATAAAGATTATGTATGATTAATCCATTTGGCAGTTAATACATATTGAACTTCTGGTGTGTTTCCTACATTTAAAAAATTAGGCTTTCTCTGTGTTTAACAGACTTGTATCTAGAGGGAGAGGTAAACAGAAAGATGTAAAACAAACAGTATCTAATAGAGGGAGTGTTAATTGTGTAAAGAGAGCAAGTAACATGGCAGGGACCAGTTTGCATGAGCTGCATTGGAAGGCTTGCTAAAAGGTGAGGGCTGAGGATCGCAGGATGGGAGGGACAACAATGCAATCCTAGAGTCAGGACAGCTCCAGGCTTGAAAGTACTGGACATGTTTAGGTAGCCAAGAGCAGGTCCTCTTGGCCTGGTAGTGACAAGGGCTAAGGTATGTAGCAATATGGCAAGGAGATTACAGAGTTATTAAACCTTTCAGGTATATCATAAAACGAGATGCCAAATGGAAACCTATACAACAAAATCCAGTTGTGTTTTAAGGAGACTACCATGGGGCTAGAGAGATGGCTCAGAGGTTAAGAACACTTGCTGTTCTTGTAAAGAACCCAGGCTCAATTTCCAGCAACCACATGATGGCTCACAACCACCTGTAACTCCAGTCCTAGGGTCTTTGATAGCCTTTTCAGGCAAAGCACACATGATATGAAGACAAAATGCTCATATACATAAAATAGAAGAAAGAAGGAGGAGGAGGACCCCTGTGGCTGAAATGGGCATTTCGAGGAAGAAGGAAGGCTAGTTAGCAGGTCAGGCCTGGCCTTGGCATCAAATGGTAGCTGGAACACTGAATAGAGAGTGTATCAAATCTGAGGACAGTTTTTACTAAAATATTACGAAGCAAATGGAAAAATAAAAGCTACATTAGGCTTTAAGTCTGAGTATCTGTTGGGAGGTAGGACATTTGAAATTGGAGACGGGAAGGGTTGGCAACAGTAGAGCACTTTGGGGGCACATACAAGTGGATGCATTCTCAGCACTACAAAAGTAAAACAACAGCAAAAACCATTCTTGCCTGAATATTAGGATAAAAGCTGAGTACACACTTGTAATCTTAGCTACTCAGCAGGCTAAGGCAGAAGGATTACAAGTTGGAGGCCAGTCTGAGCAACATAGTGAGATCTCTAAAAATAAAAATATAAAAGGGCCCGGGATAGGGCTCAGCAGTAGACTGTGTGCAAAGCATGCACACATTCCTGGGTTCAATCTTCAAACCCACATAAACCACATATGGTACATAAGCCTATAATCCCAGCACTCAGTGTCTAGAAACAGGAGGAACAGAGATTCAAGGCCATTCTTAACTATGTACTGAGTTTGAGGCCAGCCTGGGATACATGAGACTCGGGCATGGGGTGTGGGGGAGGGGTTTAGGAGTTGTTAACAAAGAGTTGGTTGGAAATGAGTATGACATCAGAGAGAAAATAAGAAGACTGAGGGTTTAGACAAGCTTTAAGGAGCAACAATATGTAGACATTATGTAGACAGGGCTGGAGGAAGGAGACAGCCAGGGAGGATGGCCAGAAACAGAAGCTAAGAGACAGGGAGGAAGACCAGTCCCAGAGAGAGCACAAGAGCATTTGATATAGTCCCACTGCAATCCCAGTGTTAAGCTGAGTGAAAGTGCCTATGATTACAGCTGCATAAAAACCCATATATAAATGTCGAATTTTAAAAGGCTGTTTTATTTAGGTAAAGATACTATGAATGTAAGCATTGTGGAATTTTTAAACAACAAAAGCAATTTTTAAGAAGGAAGAAGAAAACAGTCAATGCATCTGGATCCTAGAAGTCCTGATGGGTCATCTGCCAGATGTGTACTGTGGGGGCTCAGTGTGGCTGTTGTTGTTAATGGATGTGTTAATGAAATGCCCACATATGCAGGCAGGAGAAGTAATTTAAGCATGCAAAGCACAGCTGGTGACATCTATTGGTTCTTGATGATGTCCTTGGTTCTTACAGGTGTGGTATGCTGCATCCTATGCTGAGTTTGTGAACCAGAAAATCCATGACATATCCGAAGAAGAAAGGAAAGGTGCCTGGACTTTTGTGTGTGCCATTTTACATGAATATATTACCATTGTGTAACATCTGATCTCCCCATCTCAGTATGTCTCACAAGAGTAGGTTTCTCAGAGCCACGTATCTCCACTTAATCCTAGGATCAAATTACAATGGCAGGTTTACATTTCTTTCCTGGGTGTTAGAAAGTCATATTTAATATAATGAAAACCTCCTGTTATCAAATGAAAGCCTCAGAATCAGATGAAGATTCCTCTCTGGAATTCATCATATCTGAATACATAGCAAGGCAAGCATTGACCTTGTTTTTAATGTAACTATGATTGAAGTATGATCTCCCTACAGAAAGGTGTACAAATAATGAAGTATATACAATCTTGGTTAATTTTCACAGTGAACACATCTGTGCAGGGACTAAACAAACAAACAAAAAAACCAAAAAACAAATAAAAAACAAAAAATCCCAAATGTACTGTCCTGATTTCCAGTATTGCACACCAATTGCTTACTAGCAAATTGTTCTTAAACAGAACGATACAGTACATGCACTTTTTTGTGTGTTTGGGCAACTTTTCCCTGAACATACTCTTTCCTTTGTTTCTGGAGCTGGGAACTGAACCTAAGGCCTTGGGCTTGCTCAGCAACCATTCTACCACTGAGCTAAGCCCTTAAATTCTAGGTGAACACAGTTTTGAGATACATCCACATTGTTATATAGAATATTTATTTATTTATTTGTTTGTTTATTTATTTTTTGAGACTGGGTTTCTCTGTATAGCCTTGACTATCCTGGAATTCACTGTGTAGACCAGACTGACCTCGAGCTCACAGAACTCTGACTGCCTCTGCGTCCTCCTGATTGCTGGGATTAAAGGCTACCCTACCACCACCTGGCTTAGAATATTAATTTTTATATTATCATTGCTGTTGGTCACTCTACTCATGACTGTGTCACAGTTTGTCTACCTTGTTGTAGATTTAGTTGTGAAATGTAGTTATGATGTTAGGTTCCCAGATTAGGTCACGTTTCATAGGTTAAAGGCATAGTCTTCTACAAGACTCAGTTCGGACACCAGCTCCAGGGTTCTGGGGTTCCCATGCCACTTGTACATCTAGCCACAATCTAGGGGACTCCCCATATCCTCGCAGGCTTCATTATTTATTAGAATGAATCACATATGGGGCCCAGGAAAGTACTAAAGTCAGTGATTAGAGTTTTATAATAAAGAATATACATCAGGACCAGTCCAATAGACATAGAGTCTGGGAGCAGTGGTGTGTTGTCCCTAACAATAAAGAGCTTCTGTTGAGGTCTTATTATATAGGCCTGACTAATGGAGTAGTTGGCATGTGACTGAACTCAGTCTCTAGCTTCCCTTCCCTCCTGACATAGGACTGGCATCAGCAAGCTCAAAGTACCAACTTTCTAATCACAAGGTCATGGTTTTCTAGCCAAATCAGCTCCCACCTTGGAACATCTTGGAATAAAATCAGGTAGGATGAGGGACTAATAAGTAACAGAGAACCTATCGTTCAGGAAATTCCAATGACTTAGAGGTTATCTCCAAAGGACTAAGCATAAAGGCTAACAGATTTTTCCTATCATACAACTGTCAGCAGTTTTGGACTGATGTGAGAGCAGCTGTACTTCTTCTGTGTGTGTTTTAGGAGGGATCTGTGCACATTCTGGTTGGGTATACAACTGGGAAGGGAACTGCTGCTGGGTCATGGGGTATGCATATATTCAGGGATATGGTTGGACATTTTGCTAGATTGTGTTGGACATTGATTTTTGTTTTGATAAGATACTCCCTTAATTATGAGAGTTGGATCTGAAATAGGAAGTTATCTAAGCACAGATCTCCTTCATAGATTTTTGTTGTGTGTTGAGAGGGTGACATAGGGTGGTATGGGTCCTTTGATATCTTACATGAAAGTTTTAGAGAATAAGATCCTAAACATTACTTCTGCCAAATTCTAGCCTTTGTTTTGTGACAAGAAATGAATTCAAATAGCAGTTATTTGAATTGAAAAAGAACGGTGGAGATAGCAGGAACTATATCTTCCTAGTGTCTGTTGATCATAGCTATACATTATGATTTCTCTCTCATGGCTGTAGTTCTTCGAGAGCAAGAGAAGAATTGGCCCTGCTATGAATGCAATCGCCGGTTCATCAGCTCAGAGCAGCTGCAGCAGCACCTCAATTCTCATGACGAGAAACTGGATGTGTTTACCAGGTGGGTATATGAGACCAAGGCTCACAGACATGGTTCTAATTGTTCTAAATCATTGGTGGATGTGTGAAAATGTGTGTGTGTGTGTGTGTGTGTGTGTGTGTATACATACACAATGCATGTATGTACAGGTAACCAGATAGACTGCTGAATACCTTAGGAAATGTCTTCTTTTTTGCTATCTATTTTTTTCTAGAATAACCCATAACTGTGTTTCTGAGATTCTTTTACCCTAGTTAAATCTCCTTTAACTAGATTCTGAATTGGGATTTTTTTAACTATTTATTATTTTTGTTTTATACCTGTGGGTAGTTTGCTTGAATGTGTGTCTATGTACCATAATGTGTGCTCATGAAGACCAGAAGAGGGCATTGGATACAGACTGTTAATAGCAGTTGTGTGAGTGCTGGGGATTGAAGCCAGGTGCTCTGGAAGAGCAGTCAAAGTTTTTAACTACTGAGCAATGCTGTAGCCCCTGAATCAGAAATTCTAAAGGCAGCATGTACATTTGAAGTAATATACATCTCTGATTTTCCCAGCACTGTGATTTCTTCATGAGAGTAAATTATATGCTTAGTTACACTATGTAAAAAAGAGACAGGGAACAGTCATGTAGGATGAAGAAGGCAGCAGCCAGATCAAATGGTACAAAATTTAAAGTTAACAGAAGTGTGATGGATAGTCTTTAGGTTACAAGGAAAACCTCAGCCTAGCTAATTCAGGGATAAGAATGAAGACAAGGAATCTCGATAGAGTTTATTCCACAGATCAAGTGGAAGATGAGACTTAGAGAAGTGTGGTAGTAATGGAACAGGTCCACTTTTATAGAGTTTGGAAAGATAGGCACTGACATAAAACCATATTTAGAAAAATGGGAAAAAAGATGTTCTAGGCAGGAACCATGTGATTGCCTGCAACACTGAGTTCATGGTCACTTAATAGGAAAGAAACCACAGAAAGTACATGTGCTGGTTCCAGCTACGAGAGTATTGGTAGGGAGAGGGCAGGGGATTGAATGACACAGGCTTGTGATTTCATTATACACATCAACACAACAATAAATAAAGAAGCAGCAATAAGGGTGGGGATAAAAAAAAAAACAGCAGTGTGATTATAATGATAGTCCCAGGAGTGCCTGCTGTGGAAGAAAAGACAGGCCCGGAAGTGGGCACTAGAAGCGCAATCCAGATACTAGAGGGAGTGGTCTGGAGAGCAAGATGATTTGGGATAATGGAGTTTTATACTAAGAGTGACGAGGTTCAGGATATGACCACAGGAGTTGGGAGGGGACAACACAGTGAGATTCAAGTCACTCATGTTTGAATGTCTCTAAAATTTATGCTTGACTTTATTGTAACATTTTTATATTACATTTTGACTTTTAGTTTGCTTGCCTACAATCTCTGTTAGATCTCCGAGGGCAAAAACTGTCACATATATTGTGGTGTCTCTGGTGCTTTTGCATAGTATATGACACATAGATAAAATGTTCACTAGCTACCTGTTACAATAATTTTGCTACAACCAAGAAAGTTACAATTTTGGATATATACTACTAATAATGAGCAACTATCAAATTTTAAGGTATAATAATGTTATTATGTTTTTATATGCATGCACACATATGTAGAATTGTTAGGATTTAGAGTTACTTTCTGATGTATTTACAGATAAAAGGATACCTGAAATTTAATGGGTATATGTAGGGAGGTAGTGGGGATATAGATAGCATAAGATTGGTCATAAATCTTAAAATTGAGTATGAATATATTGGCTCATTATTCTTTTCTCTCCGTTTACCTATATTTAGAATTTTCCATAATAAAGAATCTTTTTAAAGTTCCTGGAGTTCAGGTGAGGTGTTGGGTACCTGTAGTGACAGTTGGAGACAGAGGCAGGACAGTCCCTTCAGCTCAGGTGTTTTGGGTCAGCCTGGGCAACTTGTAAAACCCCTCATCTTAGAAAAAAACAAATAGGAAAAAAATTCCTGGAAAATATATATTTGTTAAATAACAGCATGGAAGAGTGAAACATGATCTGATTCATATAATATGTGCCCTGCACACTGTGTTAGCTCTTCATTGCTATGACAAAATAAATGAAAAAAAAATTCCTGGGGGAGATTATTTTGTTTGTAGTTTCAGTCTTCTGTGGTGGAATGTCATGACAGAGCAACAGTGAGAGGACCCCTGTGATAGTGGCTTGAGAAAGCCATTTTTTAGAACACTGAGACCCAGTGTGTGGGGTGCTACTGTCTGTATTTAGAGCAGCTCCCTCCCACTAAGCAAACCCTCTCCGGAAGCAGTCATACACACACAAAACAAAGGTGTGCTTTGCTAATATCCTGGGTGCTTCTCAGGCTAGTCAAGTTGACAGTCAAGGTAGGACAGCACACATATCTTCCAAAATAAGTTTATTATGCTCTTTCTGAGTTCATCTGCCCAACTCCTTGCCTTGGCCAGGGCCTCACACTTGTTGGGCAAGTGCTCTACTACTGATTATAATCCTCTCTCTCTCCTCCTCCCTCCCTCCTTCCCACCCACCTTCCCTCCCTCCCTCCCTCCTTCCCTCCTTCCCTCCCTCCCTCCCTCCTTGCCTCCCTCCCTCCCTCTCATTGTTTTGAGATACAATTTAATGTTGTTCAGGCTGGCCTTGAACTTGCTATGTGGCTGAGGGTGATGTTGAACTTCTGATCCTTCCACTTCCACTTCCTGCGCATTGGAATTAGAAGTGTGTGCCATCCTATCTGTCATGTGCAGTTCTGGAGATGCTGGGCAAGCACACTGCAACCCAACTGAGCCTCATCCCAGCCCCGGAGTCTCATCTGATAGGGGTCTTTTGCCTATTGGAAATCAGTTAAAGTTTTAATTTGTGTTCACTTGAGTTATTGTGAAACAGCTGAAATAGAGATTTGTTTTCAACTATCTGGAAAACTGTGGAAAACAAGACTGTTACTTGAATTTAGCTAAATCTCTAGGAAAACGTAGGAGCCACTGCAAAAAGAGAAGAATGGACTGAATCCTGGGAGCGAGCTATAGGGCACGCATGTTCTGTCCTTTCAAAAGTAAAGTGCTGTCAGTATTTTTCTAGTTCTTATTTCCCCCAATAAATTTAAGACATCTCTCTGGGCTATAGAGAAAAGATGAAAAATGCAAGAAGCTCACATTAGCAAAACAGTGGTTTCCATCAGAGAAAAGAGCCAGGGGAAGTGATGATGTGAGAACGAAGAACCCCTTAGGGAGCGATGCTATGGGTGCTGCGTGGTGACTGGATGTAACTCAATCTCTTGTTCCCAGAACAAGAGGCAGAGGAAGGGGTCGAGGCAAGAGGAGATTTGGCCCAGGCCGGCGGCCCGGGCGTCCTCCAAAATTTATTCGGTTGGAAATCACGAGTGAAAACGGGGAAAAGAGTGACGATGGAACACAGGTACTGGGGGTTCAAGGAGCTCCTTTTCGGGCGCTTGTTTTGGGGAGTACTCAACTAACTGTGCCTATATTGAAATAGCTTCCCGATGTTTATAATCCTGTCTTATTAGAGTGTTCTCATGTTAACTAAGGGGGGGTTGGAACAGTGGGAATTTTTGTTTGTCTGTTTGTTTTGTTTATCAAGACAGGGTTTCTCTGTATTGCTTTGGAGCATGTCCTAGAACGTGCTCTGTAGACCAGGCTGGCTTTGAACTCACAGAGATCCACCTGTCTCTGCCTCCTGAGGGCTGGGATTAAAGGCTTTGCCACTACCGTTGGACTAAGACTTTTTTATTTTTTTATTTTATGTGTATGAGTGTTTTGCCTCTATGATGTACATGCAACCTGTTCATGCAGTACCCACAGAGGTCAGAAGGCGGCACTGGAACCACTGGAACTGGAGTTACACACAGTTGCTAGCTGCATGTACATGTTGGGAATGGTATTTGGATTTTCTACGTGCCGAGATTTGAACTAGGATCTTCTGGAAGAAGAGCCAGTGCTATAACCACTGAGCCATCTCTCCAGTCCCATAGTGGGATTTGTTGTTGCTGTTTTTGTTTTTTCAAGACAGAGTTTCTCTGTGTAGCACTGTCTGTCCTGAAACTCACTCTGTGAACCAGGCTGGCCTTGAACTCATAGAGATCCACCTGCCTCTGCCTTCTGAGTGCTGGGACTAAAGGCATGTGCCACCACTGCCTGCCCCCCCCCCCAAAAAAAAAAAAACGTATTTTAAGTGTTGCTTGCAATATAGATTTAACTTTGCTGTCCTAAAGATTTGAAATTGACTGGACGTGTTATGTGAGGGTTTTGCTAATTAACTTAAACCGTTAGAATGATTGATATTCCAGAAAGATTGTGTCAGTTTCTTTGTTCTGTGACCAGAGATGTCTTATGGTTTTTGCATTCTGCACACATTTACATGTTAACTTTCTCAGAGGGAGAGTATATTTTCTATACCATAATGCTAATCATTTTTTTTTTTTTTTAAGTTATAGCTGGGCTAGGTGGCATGTTCCATAGTCCTAGCTGCTCAGGAATCTGAGGCAGGAGGACTGCATAAGCCTAGGAGTTTTAGCCAGCCTAGTAATGTAGCAAGACATTATGTTATCTCTTAAGTAAGTAAATAGCAGTGATTCTGAATTTGAGCCAGTAGTATCCCTGTTACCGATCTTTGTGTAGATAGGGAGGTAATTCCTGGTGTTTGCAAAATTCAGGACTTGCTGCATTTCCCCACAAAGGAACAGTTCGATGAGGTTGAACCAGCTGCTCTGAATGGATTGGATCAGCCAGAACAAGCATCCATCCCAATCCCCCAGCTGCCACAGGAAACGCCATCCTCTCTGGAGCAGGAACCAGAAACTCACACCTTGCAACTGCAGCCACAGCAAGAAGAGACTGTAGTGCCTGCCCAGACCACTTTGACTGCAGATGACATGCGCAGGGCCAAACGCATCCGAGTAAGTGGGAAAGTCCACACTCCCTGTCTGGCTGGTTACCTTCCTCCTCTTGGCCAGCTCTCTCAGGGCTCTGTGTCCCAGCCTGTTGACCGTTCGCTTCGAAATCTTGTATCTAACTTTCCAAATGCCCTTTATATTGCTTTTCTTTGCAAAAGTACTTTTTCATAGTGTTTCTGTTCATGGCAAGCTGAAATGGTTATCCCAGACTCAGTCAACATAGTAAAGACACACAGAGGTCTGCATTTGGGCAGACCATGTCCATATACTTAGGACAGATCCCTATATTTATGAATTTAAAGTTGTAAAAAAATAGGGACATAGGTATATTCAATTATAATAATTATTTCTATTTTACTTAATTTTTTTTTTTTTTTTTTTTTTTTTTTTTTTGTGCTATAGGTTGAACCAAAGGCCTTACACAGGTTGAACAGGGTTTCTTCCCCTAAGCTTTACTTCCCAACCTAAAATATTTATATTTTCAGCTCTTCTAATCTCTGTCTAATCATAGCTCTCAAGGAAATTGTGGGTAACTAGTTGCGGTTATTTGTGGTTTCCAAGGGAGACTAGCAAGTGTCAGGGTCAGGGTCCACAGCTGGTACAGTTGGAAGCAATAGAGCACATTTGGGAGCTGATCAGTGTGTCAGTTGTGTGGTTTGTGTCTTGGCTTTAGACTTGAGCTACAGAGGTCCTCTGTCTTCCATTCCTAACATGCTTCTTTTATTATTTTGTGGGCTGCATTTGAGCCTGAGTTAGGAACTGTAGTGTGTATGGAAAGCAATATGGTTTGGTGTGATGTCTGTGTTGACAAGCAATGACATAAACCTGTGTTTGTGGCAGCTATTGTGCAAAAAGATTTGGAGAGACTTGACATATACACAAGAGACATATAAAACTTTTTAGCCTTTAAGTTTTCTAGATGGATGGTCATGCTAGCTTCGGTTTGTTCTGGTCTTTTCTTCTTTTCTTTTTAATGATGATTAGTCAAGGCATTGAAAGTGTGCCTCGGAGATAGGGATGATAACTTCTGACTGGGGTCTTGCTGTGAATGAGAGATTGGTCTGTTCCCTCTTTTGGTCTGCTTTGCTTGTAGGTTTGAAGGGACCTTGGAGATTCATTTCATTTAACAATACATTTACACATTCTTAGTCCCATGACAGCCTCAAAAGGCTCTGAAAACTGTTTAAATAAACTTTTTGAGGGTCCTAGAATTGAAATAGATAACAACTCTCAGCTAATTCTATATAACTTCCAAAATTTAATAAATTCAGGCTTGAAAGAAAAATCATGTGAATGAATGGTAATTGAAATATATACAACTTTTGTCTCACTCTACATAATTTCAAGAATTCATAAATACAGGCCTGAAATAGAAATCGTGTGACTTCTACCCATGTCTTCTACCCATCACTACACATTACTCCCCCATCCATTCTTGCCCTCTTGCCCAGCTGCTGTCGCTTGTCCTTTGGTAATTCAGGCGCCTTACCAAGTTAAGGGAAGTGCTCGCTCCATTTAATTGTTCTGAGGGGAAAAAGAATAACAAGCTTACATCTGTAGTCAAGCTGGGAATGCACAAGCATAGAATACCTGTTTGTGCACTTCGGTTCTCAAGAGGCGGGGTACTGGTTCCAACACAAGGTTCCTTGCATCAAAGCAAAAGCCACTTGTGTGAAGCCTTTGGAGGTCGATATTAGTTGACCTTGATTTTTCCTCTCATACATTCTAAAAAGTAGGGCTATATATTTTTTCATCTTTTTATCCAGATTGGTAATGACCAACTGAAGGGAAGTCTTCCAATCCAATTGGTAATGTAACTATTTTTCTCTCCTCTAATGCTGCCTGCTCAGTTGGAGCTGCAGGTAGGTTTGTTTCCTGTGTTTCACATAAAAGATGTTATTTAAGTGTTTGCTAACCTGCTGTTCTTTGCGTCCTGTACGTAAAAAATCCAGATCGAAAACACAATTTGGATGCCTCTGAAAATGCGAATTAATTAATTAATAATGGAAATTTATTTGTAAATAGACAAATGAGTAAATTGTGGGCTGCAGATTTTTCCTGTGCAAATGAAGACTAGGACTAAGTGATCTCCAGAGCCCTTTCCAGCCCAGAAACAATTTCAGTGGTCGGTGCTATGGGGCTGGACTCAGACTCATGTCCAGCAGTGTCTGCGCAACCCACAGAGCTCAAGACTCTAGCAGCTTACAGTCTAATAATGAGCCAGTGTTAGCAGAGGACTATTTGCATTTCTGTGTCAAATATACAAGTACAGCCTATGACTGCTCAGGAACTGAGAAGAATAGAAGGCCAAATATAGGGAAGTCAGGAAATAATTTGTAGATAGGAGGAGACAGCCCCTTGGAAAACTTTTCCTCTGGAAGGTAGATAACTCCATAGGAAGTCAAACATAGGATCAGAGGCCCAGGCACAAGATGTGCTTGGTGTAGTTATGGGACAGCACAAACAGTATCTTGACTCTTGTATGAGTGCCAGGTGAAGGAGGGTAGAGAGTGAGGTATCTTGGGTAGGGTTAGCCTACTGAAGGTTGTGAAATCTGGATATATGATAGATTGAAGAATTATTCTTTTGGTTTTCAAATTTTATTTTTATTTTATATGGCATTACAGACAGTTGTGAGCTGCCATGTCGGTGCTGAGAATTGAACCTGGGTCCTCTGGAAGTACAGTCAGTGCTCTTAACCACTGAGCCATCTCTCCAGCCCACTTTTTTTTTTTTTTTTAAATACAGCCAAAACCCAACAAACAAGCTGATTCATTCTCTTTAGTCTCAGGATCAAAATAGTATGAAATGAATCAGTAGATCAGTAGTGTGGGTCCCCTTAGCTACTAATTCAAATTTGAGAATCATTTTACAAATACAGAATCTTCCCTCAGTACTCATTGTAATTTAACAGGGTTTAGAAGGAAGATACTGTTTTGGTAGCTTTGAGCAGCTAATATACCATACAGTATGGTGACACTGACTAAGGGAGCTCAGGGGTTAGAAGACCCATAATGCATCTGTGTGCAGCCTCCCTATTTATAATGGTTCCGTCTAGAAGTGGCCCAGGTGTGGTTATGCACAAAAGAGCTACCTTAGACCAGAATCAGCCTACAAGTAGGTCAAGGGTGGGGGCAGCCCACTGCACAGGGAAACTACCATAGAGCAGAGGCAGCCTCTATGTAAGTGGGTCAGAGGTGGGGGCAGCCCAGCACTCTCATTGCCTTGTAACATGAAGGCCATTAACTCATATAGAAGCAGGACAGCTCTTGAGCACTCAGACAGTGTTCAGGGCTCCATGGAAATGACACAGATGATAAGGGTTGCAGTAGAACTCAGGAAGGAGAGCCAGGTGGCTGCTCCGTTCAAATCAAGTGTCTGAAGGTACTCATGTTAATCAGAAAAGACAGGAGACTGAGGAGCATAATGGAACAAAACAAAGCTGAATTCTGAATTTGGCACCCAGGAGAAACGGAATCCCCCGTGGGATCATCCACTATTGTGTAGCAGGTCTGTCCTTGGAGACTTGACCAAGGTTGCATCAAGGAAGTGATTCTTACATGGCAGACATGCTCTATATTCTGAATCTTCAGTGAGCTTCAGAAGAGCATCTGTTTACCTGGCATCTTTCCATAGCATTCTGAAAGTAGAGGGAAATAGGAAGAACCTTTTTGCCAAGAGTGTGTCAGGATAAAGTGAAAAGATTAGACCTCTGCCAAGTAGCTCGAGGAAATGAAAGCAACTGTGGCTGATTCACAAAAGATCTTCAGGGTCTTCGTGGGCACTGTAGGGAAGAACCTGGGAGTATGTTTAGAGTTTTATTTGAAGTATATTTATTTTATTAATTCTCAAGCCATTATGTGAGACTTCCTGTGACCAAGTAGTCACAGACCAAGGGCTCTAGACACAAAAAGGGATAAGATGTGGTACCCTACTCCCATCCTCCAAATAGCCCCCATCAACTTAGAAAGACAATGGAGAGTTGCCTTTCGCCACTCAAAATTAATAGACTTGTTAGGGAAGCCTGGAGAGACAGTTAACTCTTCTGGGAATTGACCATGTTCAGAAATTTGCTTCCCCTATTAACCTTCCAGTGACTCTTCCCTTGTAGCTGCCCAGGCACACCCATTCACAGGTATATTCTGAAGGATTTCACTACCAGAAAGCCACCTAGACCTTTGCCCTCCATGCTTTGAGGAACATAGGAATGAGTCTTCCTTGTGGAACAACTAAATATTGATTCTGTATTCTCAGTGTGAAAGATATCTGTGGGGCTTTGCTCTCAGTGGAGTGCCAGTTATTTGTCTAGCAGCCATGACAGATTCCACTGAGTATCATCTTTTCTGGAGTCCCTGTGACAGTTACATGGATTTACGAGATAGCTAACCAGCCTTAGAAGGGCAATCTGTTCTGAAAAGGAAACAGGAAGATTGACCTGTTTGGACTGGAAGCACAGCCGTGAGCATAGCTTTGTTAGGCGGCATTCTAACTAGAACTGATCAACTACTACTCCACATTCTCTAAGAACTGAAATATATATGTTCCATTTATGATGTGTTCATGTCATGCCCCACAAACAAATACATTCACATAGCCGTATTTCAGCTCGTTTTCTATTGAGATCTGTAATTCATATTTTGTAAAATCCACTGATTTAATTTCTTATGCTCAAAGAAACCCCATACCTGTTTCTTTCTCTGCCTCTCTCTGGAGAAGATCTAATCACCCTCCAGTTCCTGTTATTTTATTGCAAAATATTTCAGATTCCTTCATCAAGGACTTTTGACTGACATGCTCTAGTTTCATTCATGCATGTGCGATTTACCCAAATTTTTTTCTTCCAAATTGCTTTCTTTCCTCTTTAGCTTTCTGTTGAAAACATTTTGAGCAGTGTGTAGCAGTGGATTCTTTTAATCCTAGCACTTGGGATGTAGAGGCAGGTGGATATCTGTGAGTTTCAGGACAGCCAGAACTATATAGTGAGTCACTGTCTTTAAAAAAAAAAAGTTTTGAAATTTACTTAAATCCATTCAAAAGGAAGTGCACGTATAAAGACATGAAGTGAAACCCCCAAACTGTGTCTCTTCAAGACACAGGTCTTTGGGATAGCTTTGGCTTGCATCATTCTCACCCGGTTCCTTTTGTGTGAGCTTGAGCTGAGCTTGCTAGGAAGTGTGATTGTAGTGGTCACTCTTGGCCCTCACCACATGGCCCTGCTTGTGTCTTTCAGAATGCAGCTCTTCAGCATCTGTTTATCCGGAAGTCCTTCCGTCCCTTTAAATGTCTACAGTGTGGGAAGGCCTTCCGGGAAAAGGACAAACTGGACCAACACTTGCGCTTCCATGGGCGGGAGGGGAACTGCCCATTGACCTGTGATCTCTGTAACAAGGGCTTCATCAGCAGCGCCTCCCTGGAGAGCCACATGAAGCTCCATTCGGACCAGAAGACTTACTCTTGCATTTTTTGCCCAGAATCCTTTGACCGCCTTGATTTGTTGAAAGATCATGTGGCCATTCATATCAATGATGGCTACTTCACCTGCCCAACTTGTAAGAAACGGTTCCCAGATTTTATCCAGGTGAGTGTTTGCGCCTGAGATTCCTGTCTGCTTCCATCTTTTGGTAAAAGAAACTTCAAGTTTTGGAAAACTGAGACCATCCAGCACCTATATTTTCATCTTTTTTTTTTTTTTTTTTTAAATAACTGCAATAGTTTTCTAACTACTTTTCATGTACAGAGTATTATTTTCCTTAGCTCTCCAGATTCCAGATCAGTGTTATTTAAATGTCTTAGGTTATTTTTTAGTAATAAACATGAGACCTGGGGCTGGCAAGATAGCCAAGGGGATAAAGATACTTGCTGCCAATCCCATTGATCTGAGTTCAGTCCGTAGAACCCACATGAGAACTTCCGCTTGCACATTGTCCTCTGATCTCCACATATGCATCATAGCACACATGCACTAAAAATAAACAAAAAAATCTTGAAACACCAATCTTTGTCAAATATCCATTACTCATAACATAGCACAGAAGCTACAGAACATATTCCTTCATTTCTGGATGGGAAACATCTCTCTCCCATCTGGCTTCCTGTCTTGCTTTACTAAGGCTATGTCTCTTGAAAGGAAACAAAGTTGGCATCTAATATGCTATCTTTTCTGTTGTACTAGGACAAAATTGGGGACAGAGAAATTCCAGACTGTCTCTTACTTGATTTTAAGTGAAAATACTTTTATATTTGGTAAATAATTGAATCACAGTATCTCATAGAAATAGTGTTTAAAATTAGAAAAGCAAAAGAACTGTGATTTAATCATAGTTCTTCTAACAGTGAGAGTCTTGGAAAGTTTGTCTTCACACAGAAAGTTGTTAAGGCATAATGCAATGGGAAAAGGAATCCCACCTTAGGGAGCTTTAAAGAACAGTTTGGTAGATTTCCTGCTTAGCTTCTGTCCACAGGTTACTCCCCCCTGACCCCCCACTTTAGTGCTGGCTGTTGGACTCAAAGCATCCTACATGTTAGCATACATTGTACTGTTGAGCCCTATCTCCTCCCAGAGCTTTTTCATTTATTATTTATAGCTAAAAGAATTTAGAACCTAAGTCCTTCTCTGCTTTCCACTGCCACCCAAGCACTGGAGTTGAATCCAGAGTAAAGCTGTAAAATTATCTGAAAGTAAAGAGACTATGTCCCAGTCAAGGGGGAAGGAAATCGGTGTTGTACTAACAAAGGACTACTATTGCCAGTGTCATCTGACTCCTGTCTTTCTTCAGAACCTGACTGTTTCTTCCAGGTGCTGAGACTGAACCTAGGGCCTCGAGTGCTGGTGGCTACAGGCGGTTATGTTATACTGAGCTCCATCCCAAACCTGATTTTATAGGAAGAGATGAAAGGGTCAGCTACTAATGAAGCAAAATTGCCTCTACATATGTAGAAACAAAAATGAGGATAAATGACTTTTGTCTTCTAATAAGTAATTTTTAGCAAGATTCATTAAATTCAAAGCAGCCCTGCATTTTAATGTTAAAAGAAAATTGTACGGAAGATTGAGGCAGTGCTCTGTCTCCCGGGATGTTCAGATTTATAGGGCTCTCTGGTCTGTGCTGTTTCTTTGTGACAGGGACAGCGTGTGTTACTGAGGGCAGTCATCCCTTGTGACTGGCCAGACCGCTGAAAGTCCTCAGTGATGTGTTGGCTCCCCCTAGCGTCATAGCCACCTCTGGTCCTTTCTTTTGGCCTGAGCATCCCCTGGTCTTTACTGCCAGGTGAAAAAGCACGTGCGCAGCTTCCACTCTGAAAAGATTTACCAGTGTACCGAGTGTGACAAGGCCTTCTGTCGCCCCGACAAACTGAGACTGCACATGCTCCGGCATTCTGACCGCAAGGACTTCCTGTGTTCCACCTGTGGGAAGCAGTTTAAGGTAAGACCTGCATCCCAAGGGGACTGACCTGCCCAGGATTCAGTCAGGCTAAGGACAAACACCAGCTTGTTTCATGGCTCTGTGCATATGTCCTAAGTAATGGTTAGTTGGACTAGATTATTACTGTGGAAGTCCTAAGAGACAAGTATATTTACATACTAATTTGTTAACAACTGAAAACTAGACCACTTATCTATCTACAGGTAAGTCACTTAAGCAGCATCTTCTCTGGCAGAGATGGGAAATGGAAAGAAACATGTCTGAGGGGAAAGGCCAGAACAGAGGCTTGATAGCCCTGGAGATTGTAATGGTTTCAAGGGCTCTAATAAAACATAAGCAGCTTGTCGCAGAATCCCAGTCTTCAGGAGCAGAGGCAGGAGGAGCTATATAGGAAATGGCAAGCCAGTTTGTGCTACATAGTGAACCCAAAAGAAAACAAAATGAAACCCAAACCAGTAATCTGCTTGGAATTAAGAAACCAAGGGAAAGTCTGCAGGATACTCAGAGGTATTTGTTAGTGAGAGGCATTGCTAAACCTGGCTATGGTCACTCATCAAAGAAACCTGGAAGAAGGCTAATGAGATGGTTCAGTGGGTAAAGGTACTTGCCACACAAACTTGAGAATCTGAGTTCAATACTCAGATTTCATAAAGGAAGGAAGGGGAGAACCTACCCCTAAAGTTATCATTTGCCCTTCATGTACGCTTGTGATACTCAAATGTCCTTGCCTCATTAATGATCAATAAAATTAAGTAAGAAGAAACTGGAGATTCTTGAGAGGGAACAAATAAGAGGTATGTTTGTAGGGAATGTGAACATTAAAGAGAAAAAGCTTAAGTTTTGTGGTGCATCCACTATAGATCAATTATGGATCATATTTGTGATGGCTTCTAGTATGTTGGCATGGTTGAAATCTCTGAAGAATTCCAGTATGAGCTGTGTATTGAGGCATCTGACTTGAATCTCAGTACTTAGTAGGCTGACACAGGGGAATTGCCATGAGTTTGAGCTCAGCTTAGACTTTGCCTGGGTATGTAGTTGAGACCCTGTCTCAAAAAAAAAAAAAAAAAAAAAAAAAAAAAAAAATGGTGGTGAGATGGATGGTTTAGTGGGTAGGGGTGCCGCTTGCTATTGGGCTTAACAGCCTGTGTTTGATCCTTGGAACCCACTTAGTAGAAGGAGAGAACTGATTCCACAGGTTGTCCTCTGGCCTGTACATGCAAACCATGCCTGGTGCACACGCACACACATGATTTTTAAAGAACACCATTGTGAACAGTGTACATTGAGCTGGTGTTCTCCCCCTCCTCCTTCTCCTCCTCCTCCCCTTCCTCCTCTTCCTTCTCTTCGTCTCCTCTCTCTCACTGTGTCTCCCTCCTCCTCCTGGTTCTTCTCCCCCCCCCCCATTCTCTCCCTTGCAACCTCCTTCCCTCCCACCATCACCATCTCTCTTTCTCTCCCACCTTCCTTTTTCTTTGTTTTCTTGCTGAGATGGTGTTTTCTAAGTAGGTCAAGCTGCCCTCAGCTTCTTATTCTCTTATTTTTACTCTCAAGTTCTGGGATTACAGGCACACACCACCAAAGTATATGCCACTGTAGTCTCATCTTCTCTCCTCTCCTTTCCCTTTCTTCTTTCTCACTCCCTAACTTCTTCTTCTTCTTCCCTTCCCTTTCTTCCTTTCTCTTCCCCATTTCTTCATTCCGTTCCTGTATGCACCACCCTACTCAGCTACTGTAAAAAAAATCCTAGCCCTTGAAATCATTATACTCTGCATAATAGTCTAAGCCCTCACCTTTCCCCATTCACATTTTCCTTTACATTTCATTTTTCCTTTCCTTTCCTGTTCTCTCCTTTTTCCTTCCTTCCCCTTCCCCAACCCCATGGCTTCTTTCCCCCTCTTTTCTTCTTCTTTCCTTTTCCCTTTTGCTCCTCTATACCTTCTATATTAGATATGGGGTTTGAACTTAGGTTTTGTGTATGCTAGTCATAGACTACCAATAACTACCTCTCCAACCTCGTAAAAATGTTCTCTGCAAAGAAATCCCTGTGTTGTGAGTTAGTATTTGCCCATACATCCAACACTTTATTATTGTTGTTACTTTGAGAAAAGATCTCATGTATCCTAGGCTGTTCTTAAGTAGGGTATTACTAAGGCTGGCCTAATGCTTCTGAATCTGTTTTGTCCACTTGATTATTGCTGGGATGTGCCACTATGCCTGGTTCAATACTTTTTGATTATTATTTTATGCCAGATTTTTGTTTGTTTTTTGAAACAGGGTTTCTCTGTATAGTCCTGGCTGTCCTAGAACTCATAGAGATCTGCCTGCCTCTGCTTTGAGCATTGGGATTAAAGGCATGTGCCACTGCCACCACCTGGTGCTAGATATTATTTTAATGCTTAAAAGAAGATTAAAAATTGAAAGAATCGGGCCAGTCAGATGGCTCAGTGGATAAAGGCATCTGCTTCCAAGATTAGCAACCTCAGATCAGTTACTGAACCCACACACTGAGAGAACTGACTCCTTCAAGCTGTCCTCTGATGTCCACATTTGCACCATGGCATGTGAGTTTCTCCTTACAAATAAAACATGGAATAGTTGGGTGGTGGCACATGCCTTTAATCGCAGCACTCAAGAGGCAGAGGCAGGTGGATCTCTGTGAGTTTGAAGTCAGCCTTGTCCACTGAGTGAGTTCCAGGACAGCCAGGATGACACAGAGAAGCCTTGTCTCAAAAAAACCAAACAACAAAACCCAAATGTAATAAAAACTTTAAAAGAAAAAAGAATTAAGAAGAAAATAAAACCTTTCTGCTTCTGTTTTCTCCTTTAATGTCATTCAACCCATGAGATAGGTTTGGATCATGGAATCAAAACTGCTATGCCTGTTAAGAGAATAAGGAATGTTCTTATACGAGTAAGAACTTAATTATGGGAGAAGATGTAGAAATAAGAGTTTGAAAAGTGGATCTGGGGCATGAGAAGTCACTATTGTATCCACTCAAGTGCTCTGGTAGATGGGAGCCAACCTGGGACCCAGCTCCTCCAGTGCAGTGTCAACCCATGATGGAGGGAAGTTTGGAATTGGCCAATGGGTCCCACAGTGGGAGGGAATGAGGATGTAACGACACCTTCCCACTCAACACCACCTCCAGATCCAGCACTGCGTGGCAGCCGCTTTGGCCCCACCTTTAAGACTGCTGCCAGTGCCTCTTGTGGCTGTTTCCAGTGTGGAACAAAGCTGATCCATGTAAACCTCTTTTGCCTTGGCCAAGTGAGCACCGCATAACCACCATAACTGCAATGGCCTTTTCACTCTAACCAGGGAAAATTTTCTAGAGAACAAATATAATGTTGTGACCCTTCTGAAAAACCCTTTGCAGTTCTCCATGCAGACAGATCCTACAGTTCTTATCTCAGCATCAAAGACAACACAAGGTCTAGTCCCTCCTTCACTATCTTGAGATCATTTGATCTCTTTATTACTCCTGGATAGAAATCAACATGATCTCACCTGGCCTACTTCATCTGGGGCATTTCTTGATCTGTGAATGAAATGCTTGTTATCAACCCCCAAAGGACCTTTTGCAGGTGATGCCATCATAGCTCTTACATAGCTAGAGAATGGAAGAGAATGAAGAATGAGGGAAGCATGAAGATTTTGTAAGCAGAAGTAGCAGTGGGGACTAAGGAGATGAGGTGGTGAGAAGTGGAATGGATAGAGGGTGGAGAAGAGGCCAGTGTTTGATTTAACCAGGAAGTTAAGTTGAGCCCGCTTGTTACACTGAGTAATTCAACTTGTGGTGAGGGGTGCTGGAGGCCTCATGGAGCTGTCTGAATTCAGGCAGAGGTTGTGGGCAGAAGACAGATGTGTGAGAGAGAGTTCGAAGCCTTGGCATGCGTGGTGCTTCAAGAGAAAATGGCCCCCAAAGGGAGTGTGTGGCCTTGTTGGAGCAGGTGTGGTCTAGTTGGAGGAAGTGTGTCACCGTGGAAGCAGACTTTGAGGTCTCATATATGCCCAAGCCACAATCAGTATCTCAGTTCATTTCCTGTTGCTTTTGGATAAGTTATAGAATCCTCAGCTCCTTCTCCAGTAACATGCCTGCCTGCATGCTGCCATAATCCTAGCTGTCATGCTTCCCACCATGATGATAATAGACTAAGCCTCTGAAATTGTAAGCCACCACATCAATTAAATGTTTTCCTTTATAAGAGTTTCCATGGTCATGGTCTCTTTACAGCAAACCCTGACTAAGACAGCATGAATGGAAGAGTGAAGGGTGGAGGCTGAAATGAAGACTGTGACTTGGGTGGCTAGATGTTTGGGAATGCCGCTAATGTCAATGAACTAACATAGGCAGCAGGATCGGAATAGCTTTTGATGTTAGGAGGGAAAGGCCTTATGGAGATTTGACAACAGAGAAATAATTTGCCCATCACTGCACACGGCATGATGTAGTATTAGTATGGGGCTTTGACACTTAGGAAGTGATTCAGTTCAGATGAGCTGCTCTATTGAAAGGAATTATATGGAAGCAGGGGATTAGGGAATATTGGCAGTCAGGGAAAGGTGGAAGGCAAAGTGTTGTGTTTACACTGAAGAGAAATACTGTTGTGAAGTCAGTGCTCAGTTTTTTACAAACTGAGAAACTCTGAGCAATCTCTCCACAGTACTAAGGTACGAGAGTAGGTGGGATGGGAAGAAGCAGCAGCTGTACCCACTTTAGCAGAGGCAAGTAGGTAAAGTGAAGGCTGCCTTCCCTGGAACTCAGCTCCTTTCATGGGTAATTCAAGGAGCAGTTGCTGAGTAAATGTGAAAACTGAAGTGGTGAAGAAAATCACTGAACAAAGGATGACTCAAAGCCTTTCAAAGATTAATAACAGTGTAACCATTTTCCTAGAGCAGAGAATAACATGGGGTCAGACAGTTGTATTAAATATTCCATTCCCATGCAATTTAGCAAAAAAAAAAAATTTTTTTTTTTTTTTTGTAAATTCCAAGT